TCAGCAGGACTTCAGCTTCATTCAGCGCACAGATTGGACCCTGCTTTGGGTCCAATTCAGGGTTGTGCAGTAAAGAAGGGTGTTATGAATAGAACTTCTGCTTCATTTATTGCAGAAGATGAGGGTAGATAAGATAGCATAGTACCAAGAAAAAGGATGGTTTCATAGTTTAGTCAGTTAAATGCTTCTCTAGAGAATTGGATTCTATCCCTTCCCTTGTCATAGGCGATGCCAGACAAATCACTTAAACCTAACTTTTCACAGGTGGCTACTATATGTGTATGTCTCACTTTCTGCATGTTTCATTTGAGACCCTGGGGTATAATTTGCAGAAATGCTGAGCACTCACAGCTGAAGTGAAGTCTATAGGTATTGGGCTTTGAACATATAACATACTATATATCAATAAGCACTATGAAAAATTAAGGGCTGCTGACAGATGTAAGGGGGAAAAAAAACAACCCAGTGCTTTACTGGAAGAAGTGCATTAGTTTGACCTGTCTCCCCAGTGCTTATATAGATTGGGCACTTTAATGGGGTTTTTTTGGTGGTTTTAGCTAAAGGTGATTCAACAAGCTACAAGATAAAAGTGCCAAAAAGCCGTGCTGAAGTGCGTGATCTATATAGACATTGGGAAAGCCAGGTCACACTAATGCGATGCCTCTTTTGGGCATGTGCTCGTTGCACTGCACCAGGTATGTGGACATGTTGAGCTAAAAGTAAAGTGCTGGTGGTTTGTTTTTTTCACATCTGTAAGCAGCCAAGATGTCTAAAGCATCTCCGATGACACCAAACTTTGGGGCAAAGCATCCACACCAGAAGACAGGCGGGTGATCCAGGCTGACCTGGACAGGCTCAGCAACTGGGCAGATGAGAATCTGATGGTGTTCAACGCTGATAAATGCAAGGTTCTCCACCTTGGGGAAAAAAAAACCCGCAGCATTCTTATAGGCTCGGCAGTGCTATGTTGGCTAGCACTATGGAAGAAAGAGACTTGGGGGTCATCATTGACCACAAGATGAACATGAGCCTGCAATGCGATGTGGCGGCTAGTAAAGCGACCAAAACACTGGCTTGCGTCCATAGATGCTTCTCAAGCAAATCCCGGGACGTCATTCTCCCCTTGTACTCGGCCTTAGTGAGGCCTCAGCTGGAGTACTGTGTCCAGTTTTGGCTCCACAATTCAAAAACGATGTGGAGAAGCTTGAGAGAGTCCAGAGAAGAGCCGCGCACATGATCAGAGGTCAGGGAAGCAGACCCTACGATGACAGGCTGAGAGCCCTGGGGCTCTTTATCCTGGAAAAGCGCAGGCTCAGGGTTGATCTGATGGCCACCTACAAGTTTATCAGGGGTGACCACCAGTATCTGGGGGAACGTTTGTCCACCAGAGCACCCCAAGGGATGACGAGGTTGAATGGTCACAAACTACTACAAGATCGTTTCAGGCTGGACATAAGGAAGAATTTCTTTACTGTCTGAGCCCCCAAGGTCTGGAACAGCCTGCCACCGGAGGTGGTTCAAGCGCCTTCATTGAACACCTTCAAGACAAAACTGGATGCTTATCTTGCTGGGATCCTATGACCCCAGCTGACTTCCTGCCCTTTG